TTTTTCCAGCACCATTTGAGTTCTTATTCCCACAAAAACACCATTACACTGTGATACCTCATTTTTTATTTTTCCAATACAGTTGTTGCAGTTGGATACAAAGGTCCAGATGCCTTATCGATTACCTTTTGCACTGTGACTATCCTTACCATTAGGTACTCTCTAATGAATTCTAGGTAAGTGATGATTGGTTGTTCACGTGCTTTTTGAAGTTGACTATTAAGAGACTCACACAAATTTTTTAGAAGACCATCACAATGTGCCCTCCCTGCATTACAATTGAAGTTTAAGCGAACATATTTTAGTAACTAACAAAAATAAAGGCACATTAAATAAAAAGGATACAAACCTATAAAGTGTGACCTAGCCCAGTGTTGAGGTGGAATAGATTTAACCCATTCATAGCAATCATTGTTCAATTTATTGAACTCTTCCATTGCATGGTGAAACTTTTGCACAGTTGTTACAGTTGCACACTTCCATAACATATCATGATCAAAACCTTGTGTTTCAAATTGAGGCTCATTTGGGGGTTTTCCACATTGATCAACTTCTGGTATGGTAGAACCACTACAATCCCCTGTTGTTGATGTCTTTCATTCTAAGAAAAGCCTTTTAGAACATGCAGGGGGGTCAATAATTTTCTCAATCCTAACTTTACTAGGGTTAGGGTACATTAAAACGTCTTCAAAATTGTCTTACCATGCTCTGTATAAACTTCAATACGTTTATGTTTCTCCACATATGTCCTCAAGTGGTTAATATCACTATCACAAGATAAAGCAAACAAACCAGTGTCCAAATTTGATAATGGTCTTTTGAAATGATAATACAACAACTTACCTTCCTCCACGCAGCCAAGGATGTCCATCATTTCGTCAATATCATGAACAGAGAACTCGTCAATGCCCACTAAATCAACATACTTTTCTTTTACCTTTATGTATCTCCTTCTAGGAAACTTTGTAAAAACTCCATTATAAAACAGCTTAATCGAGAATATTGATGGATTACCACCTGTGAAGAAGGAGAATGAAGCTTAGGTTTTGAGAGTTTGTGCTTTAGATGAGAGTGTTAAACAAAAAAAAAAAAAAAAAAAAAAAAAAAAAAAACTTGCTATAAACTCGTCCAACGTCTATTTCCGTCATGTCTGCTCGAATCCTCCACCCCACCATTGTTCTTGTTACGAAAGCTTGATTGAAATCGAGTAGGTTAGGGTTTTCTACGTGATTTAGTTGAGAGAAGTCTTATGTGTAACGTAAACGAGAAAGATGATCGGGAAGATATAAGAAACGTTTTCCATATCCATTTAGGCGCCATGTGTAAAAGGATGAATGTACCCTTAGTGTGACATGCACATGATATATTTAACGAAGAAGAGTGAGAGAAAACGTCAATAGGGACCAGGCGCGTAATCAAATGCAACCTTGAGGACGGTACGAGTGCAAAAAAAAGTTAAGGACTAAACGCGCAATTTTACCTAAACCATAGGGACCATTTCAGTAATTTACTCATTATAAAAATATAATAAATAATAGCAATGATTTTGAACTTCCAAAATCTAATAAAATACTATGTTTTTAAGTTGTTAGTATAACGTTTTTGAGATGTTATAATATTTTTATTTTAAACATGTAAAATTATGCTATAAATAATTATTTTTATACAAAAATAGCTTCTTTTAGCCAAAAAAAAACTTCTTTTAGCCCAAAGAACACCTTCGTTCGTCCAAAAAAAAGTCAACCGAAACGGGGGTGGGGAAACGGGGACGGGGGTAATCCAGGGATTCGGGGCGGGGGCGGGGGTGGGGAAGCTAGAGATTTCGGGGACGGGGACAAGGGGACTCGGAAATTTCGGAGGTGGGCCCGTTTGTCTCCATTGACATCCCTAAGGTTCAAAATGAAAGATTAAGTGATATGTATGCTGACTTTTTGCAATAATACAAAATCAGAATGTTAATGACACCTCATGGACAAAAATGATATCTCACAAATTAAAAATTAAAAGTTTGACTCCTACATACTCAATATTCGATCTTCAATGCATTTTTAATATTATATTAGATAAGAAATGCTTTTGTTTTAGTTTAAGCGGATTGTTACATGCATAGCTTATATACGGACAGATAGACACAAACAATTGTATATTAACTTATAGATAATGACTATTTTAAAGATGCATCATTCATATTTACTTATAAATTAAAAAACACACGATGGTATATAGTCTATTTATATGTTGAGAAAAAACCCAATTGCTAAATAGTTTATTATACTTAACCTCTCACCGGAACATTCTTTTCAATCGTGCTCTTGTTCATTTTATTTAATTATCTAGTGGCGTAAAATTAATAAGTGATTAATTCAGTCAAAATAACAGTAGTAGAGCGGATAAACATATTGAAATTATACGTGACAAAAGTATCGTGTCTTGTCATGAAACGTTAAAGGGGTTGAAAGAATTTGACGTTAACTCGGCCTGTTTAATTATCGTGTCGTGTCAACCCGTTTATTTAAGTGTCGGATTAACAGGTTAGGGTTTTGACCGTATAGGCGTATAACGTGTCATGTCATATATACCGGGTTGAAACAATAAACATAACAAATAAAAGAAATTAGGGAGGTGCAAAGAAAAAAGTGAAAAAAAAAAAAACAGAAATAATAGGATCTGGGACGCAGAGGGGCAAGGTTGCGAAGAGGAGGGAGTGGTCCACTGATAGTATGAAATCTTGACCTAGACAGCTAAGTTGTTTTATATTTGGTTTTGGATTTTGGTCTATCAAATTTATCTAACAAATTAAAATAAAACTGTATATAAATAATTGAGTCATTTTTTAGTTGAAAATTTCGGCCATGAATTAATCCATTTAACTATTGTGTTGTTTTTAACTTTTTAATTAGAGTTTAAATCTCTTACCTCAAACCCACTATTTCGTTTTGGGTTAACGTGTTGTGTTATTTTTTGCCACATGTAATTAAAAGTATATAATTACAGAATAAATGAGTAATTATAATTACTCTAAGGGGCCAATTTTTTTTTTTTTTTATAGAAGTATCTTGATCTAAAACCATGGTATGCATGACTTAGGGGGCTGTTCAGTATACATCTTAATGGTTCCATCAAGAGATAACCTCTTAAAAGTACAACGTTAAAAGTGTTTCGTATAAAAATAAAAACCTCTTACCAATTTTATAAGGGTCTAAACTATTCAACATCACCATTCTCCCGTAACGATTCAACAAGTGACTTCTTCCCCATTTGACCTCATAACTTACATCTATTTTCTTGCTTTTTTCTTCACAATGTCCCCTCCTCCAAAATTGTGATAGACGCCACGAAATTCTCCATCGCCACCTTATTATTCATTTCCCTGCTACTAGCCCCACCCTCCTCCTTCCACACAAATATTGGCGCTTCCCGCCACTAGTGTGTCGAATGGTACACTTCACAACCCACAACAGGAACATGAATCCAAGGGTTTGTGTTGTTGTAAAGTGAAGGTCCTCCGATTCACCAATCGCGTCCCCAAAAACGACATAATTGTTCTTCGAACACCTTGAGGATTCATCTCATAAAGTCAAACACGAACAACTCCTATGTAAGATTTTTTATTTAGGGTTGTAATTAAACTAAAAAACTATCTATGGGAAGCTTTTTTGATAGAGCAAACTTGACTTGAAAACTCAAATAGCTCAAAACAATCGGCAAGAAGTGTTTACTAATACTAATTTGCTTTGAGTTTAACCTAAATTTTTTGATATGAACATAAGGCTCATAAAGCTTGATAATAACTAGAGCTGAGTCCCTATATACTTGAGGTTAAATCGTTATATGTTTTGGGCTCAAAACAATCTAACTTGCTTGTAGCATTTATGAATTTATAATAGGTTGTGAAGTTGCATTTTATCTAAATTTATGTATGTTTTCATGGATTTAAAAGGATATATGTTTATTTTGGATTTTGTACGATATTTTGTAATTTTTAAAATTAGTAGATTCAAATATCTTATCAAACAAAATCATTTTCATTTAGCAAAGAATAATATAGAACATTAAAATGGTTATTTTTATCATTTGATACAACCATATAAAAACCTGACAAAAAATTATATTTTCATTGAGAAGCCTAATCATTCTTGTCTCTTAGGCTATGTTTGACGTACTAGGTGTTAGCTGAAAAGTTAGGTGTTAAATAAAAAACTAGTTGATAGCTGAAAAACTAGCTGATAAAAAATGTTGTTTGGTAAAATTAGCTGAAAAGCTAGCTAAAATATATAAAAAGACATTTTAAATGAATGTGTTTCTATAATTAATTAAGGGGTATTTTTGGAAAATTTTAAAAAAGCTCTCGAAAAACTAGTCTAAGGTTGTGTTTGACGCGCCACAAGTAGCTGATAAGCTAGCTTATTTTTCGAGTTTTTTATGTTGTCGTGTTTGATAAGCCAAAAAGTAGCTTATAAGCTAGTTTATAAGTTAGGTTTTTGAAAATGTACTTAGACTAGCTTTTTAGAAGTTTTTTAAATTTTCCAAATACACCCCTTAATTAATTATAGAAACACATACTATTACATGTCCTTTTATATAATTTTATATATTTCAGCTAGTTTTACCAAACGTTATTTTTTATCAGCTAACTTTTCAGCTACTACATCAAATATAGCCTAAGTAGTTTTTTTAAAAGATAGCTTATAAGCTACTTTTTGACTTACCAAACACAACAACATAAAAAAAAGCTCGAAAAATAAAATATAAAAGATAAAGTATGATTATGTAAAATAATGTAAGTAACTTAATATTTTAATTTAAGAATTTTAGCAAAAACCTGACCACGTGGACCATTAAATAGGATTTACTGTACAATCCCACAAAGCACGCAACACGTTATTCGTACAACTCAAACATCAGAAATGAGAATGGTAACTTGGATTTTTTTTTTTTTTTCCGGTTGTTCACACTCCTATTTTGGCTCCATTTCACCTCTTTTTAAACCCGATCACCCACATCATTCTTTCAGCATCCATTGACACACATACCTTCAAACAAAACACAAACCAGTCATGGCTGCTTCCATTAATAGAAGTCCATTTAACTTCATTAGTTTGTTGTTATGGTGTGGTTTGGTGTTCGGATCTGGTGGTTTGTGTGAATCGGTTCCAGGAGTTTACATATTCGGAGACTCATTGGTGGACGTCGGAAACAACAATTACTTGTCTCTCTCACTTGCCAAGGCTGATTTTCCTCACAACGGTGTCGATTTTCCTACCGGAAAAGCCACCGGTCGGTTCAGTAACGGGAAAAACGCCGCTGACTTTTTAGGTACGTTGATTCTTTGTTGACGATTTTATATATAGCTTTACTACTCCCTCCATGCAGTTTGTTTCTAAATTCTAAAATTTGGATTTTTGCAGCTGAAAAGGTCGGACTACCTTTTGCACCACCGTATCTGTCACTGGTGTCGAAATCAAAAAAGCTGAGCAGTTCCAATTCCACGGTTACCGGAGTCAGTTTTGCATCCGGAGGTGCCGGCATCTTCAATGGAACAGATGAACTCTTTGTAAGCTTAATCATTCATATATACATGCATCTCAAAACTCGATCAAAACATGATAAAATTCATTCATAAAATTATACAAACGCTGGTTTTTTGTTATTATATATATATATATATATATATATATATATATATATATATATATATATATATATATATAATATTATATATATATATATATGTGAGTGAATCTAAATTAACAAAACTTAATTAAAGATAAATTCTGGAAACTACATCAAAACTTAGATCATGAAAGTGTATGGTGTAGAAAGGACGTGTGTGTACATGTGGGAGTGGATACTTGTCACTTGATAGCTAAGTTTGGTCTTATAGCTTCCAAATAAAAGGAGACCATTAATGAAGGCACTTCAATGAAAATGCGTAGTAAATGTGAACCTAAATGTGTCCTTTTCGATAAAATATCAAAATCGACAAAAATAGTTATAATAATCTAGAGTGTTTGTATGAACTTGGTGAATGATCATGAAAGCTAATGTTTGGTAGTCATTTAATGATACAAGAAGTTACACTTAAGAGAGTTATAATTTTAATCATTTTTTTTAGAAAACATATTTTCATATGTATGTCACTATAATCAGATAACTAACCCAGTTGGTAATTAATTAATATCTATTGTAAGTAATCGGAGATCTTAATCATTTGATAAGTTATAGTGTAAACCGTTAGACGCTAATTGTGAAAATACATCCCCTAGATAAGATTTAATTTAAGCTATGTTTATTTTATGTATAATTCTCTTTTAGTACTATTATATAAAATGAATTTTAACCCTTCGAATAATTTGAAGAGAGCGTTGTTTAATACCATTGAACAATACATGTTAACCGACTTTATCAAATCGGGATATAATAACTGTTTAAAGCTTATCAATCAATTCACTCTATCGCAACATATTTTAGAATAAAAAAAATATTACTATGTATTAATGCTTATCGTATAAACAAAGTATCAGAAGTTAGTGGGTAAGACACATATCGTAATAAATTAGAAAATTGTGTTTTTGTTAAAAAAAAATAAACGAGATTTGCACGTAATGATCATAATTTCTCCGTATATATCAATCATTAAAAATCATGTTTATTTAGATAAGATGTCGACTAAATATTTTAATAAAGTTTGGATTGTCTACAATGGAAAATCCAAGATTATGATCATGTATTTACTCATATTTTATCATAACGAAAAACCTCAAACATGCTTAAAAGAACAGTTTTTTTTATTGTCTACAATCGAATATCCAAAGTGTATTGTGAACCTTGTATAGTTGTATTCTACACATTATTTATATATAAAATATATGATTTACAAACATAATACAAATTACATATGTAAATCATAATTTAAGTGATCATTTATCCATTTTAAACAAATTTGACCATAAAAAGCTGCATAAAAGAAAGAAAGATATTAAAAAGCAGTGAGGGGACATTTTGGTGAAAGCCAAAAGGCCCAAACCACTAACTCACTAGATCAAGATTTCAAGATTTACCTTAGTCCTTTGACCTTTTTGCATGGGAATCACATTCTCTTTCTAAAAGTGTATTCTTCTTCCGCGTAAAATGATAATAATAACATATTAGTTTAAATTATTTGTAAAGAATGCATATTTGATCTTATTAACTTTTTTCTCTTCATACATTATGCATTTACGTATCAACAATAATTCTGAAATATTAATAAGATTTATCGTTATTAAATATATATACAAAACCGTCAAGATCAATAATTTAAAATAGACAAAAAAGAATAAACTTAATTTGTTTTTAGCAAAACCAAAGATTTTTTTATTTATTTTAAGTAAAATACGAACATATTATTACATCTATTTCAAGAGAACCTACTAAATTATTACATTTATTATTAACAAAAAATATTACTAGTACTATTTTAGTTAAAATATTGTGGAGAAACAAAAACATAACGAACGTGCTTCTCACGTGTATATGGAATCCGGGACGGGTTTTTCTGCATACCAAAAGCTTCTTTTTAACAAACTTGATCGACCTTCGAATCCCGTTTTAAATCAACAAAAAATGCGGTGAACGTGGATCGAACACGTGACCTTCAGATCTTCAGTCTGACGCTCTCCCAACTGAGCTATCCCCGCATGTATTATTATTCATCTAATATAATTTTGTTCAATACACAGAAACAATCAATTCCATTAACGAAGCAGGTGGGCTACTACTCTCTGGTCCATGACCAACTGGTACAACAAATGGGCTCAAATGGTGCAGAAGCCCACTTATCCAAATCCCTATTTCTGATTGTCATTGGAAGCAATGATCTCTTCGGCTACTTCAACAAAGACTCCAAAGTATCTAAGCAATACACCCCACAACAATATATTGATCTCATGGCCTCGACTCTCAAAGGACTCATCAAGGTAACCTATAAACACAATGGTTAAAAAAAGACTTTTTTTTTTTTTTTTTGGATAGTGATGTTAAGAATAAGAGTTAATTGAATTGATTTGGGTACAGAATATGTACACATTGGGAGCACGTAAATTTGTGGTAAGTGGAGTCGGAGTGATTGGTTGTTGTCCTGCACAAAGGAAACAAAACACCACCGGTGAATGCAAAATGGAAGCAAATTATTGGTCAATGAAGTATAACGAAGGTCTCAAGGCTTTGCTTCGGGGATTGAAGTCAGAATCATCAGATATCAGCTACTCTTATTTTGATACATACGCTGCCATGAATGGCCTCATCCAACATCCTCAAACTTATGGTACTAATTTAATTTAATTGCCTTTACGATTTCTCAAAATAACCTTCAATATAAATATATAATTTTTTATTTTGTCACACTTCAGGAATCACAGAGATAAAAGAAGCTTGTTGTGGACTTGGCAACTTAAAAGCTGACATCCCTTGCATTCCAATTTCAACTTATTGCTCAAATCGGAAAAACCATCTTTTTTGGGATCTCTATCACCCTACGGAAACTGCATCTAATATCTTTGCTAACATTATCTATAGTGGATCACAACAATTTACGACTCCAATGAATGTGGAACAACTCATTAATGTGTAAGAAATGAATATGAACACACACACATACATTTATTGTTGAGTATTTGTTAACAGCGTTGAGAAAGAAGTATATGAATATATGTCAAATCAAATGTTTTTCTAAAGTTTATTATGAAATCGTTAGTTGAGTTCGTTATTATAGTTCATTATGGCAATGGTTAAATTGTTCGATTGGTAAGTTTAGTGCTATAATGGAAAATGGAATATATGTCGGAATCAAATGTTATTTTTCCTGAAGTTTATTATGAAATTTTACATGATTGAATTAATGTAATTAATTATGGAAATTATAATTTTTCTACCGGTTTGTAATTTTAATTAAGCAATGGATGGATCCTCTCTAATAAATTAAGGTTTTTTTTTTCTCACTTGTCAAATTTTCAAGAGTTTTGCCACATGTAATTTTGTGGGAGTTTTAGAATTATTATTTTCCACTTGTCATTTTTTGGGAATTTTCATTTTTTAAAATAAAAATCCACAAAATTCTAATAAGTTTTATAAGAAAAGAGAATCATTCTATTAATTTGATAATAAAGTCTCATAAATGCTCTAAATAATATTTGATTTCTTTTATAAATGTTCCAAAAGATTACATTATTTTTGTAAAAGTGTTATTTTATAAAATATTTAATGTTTAAATATTGATATTAAATTGTTATTTTTAAAAAACTCGTATAGTACACGGGTCTCACACATAGTAATGGAATATACACGATCTTAATTTCTTGCGTTAGAAGGTGACACATAATATGTTTGAGTAAAGTGTTTGAATGACAATCAAATATTTTGTTATATTGGCAAATTACACACAAATCATTGAGTTTATATGAAAATTAGGCGAATGTCCGCGCGTTGCGCAGAAACACTTATATAGTTAAAGTTTTTACAAATATATGTTTTTTTAATATAGCAATAACGTTATTGTTAAATTTGATATAATAATTCGTATACTAAATTGATATAATATATTGATTATTTTGAATTATATGATATAATATATACATCTATTATAACTGCATAATTTCAATCGTTTGAATGACTTCTACCCGCGAGTTACATATGAATAAAATTAAATATAATATATGGTTTAATGTTATTTATAGTTGTTGTTATTGTTAATTAATTTTTTAAATATTTTTGCTTAATGTTTTAATTTCTATCATTATAATTATTTAAAACATAAAACATTGTTTTTTGATTTTAAAGGTAACAATATAATCATTTATATAGAGTTATTTTTAACTATTGTTATTATAAGTTATTTTAAGCTACTTATTTGAAAACTTTTAACGATTATAAAAATATTTTTAGGAAATATTTTAGTTAAATTGAGATTATAATTTAGTTTTTGCATTTATCACTACAATTTATTACTTTTAATTATTTACAAAATATTCTTTGGTTTTTTAAGTGGAACTGAAATTTATATTTAAGTTGACATTGTAATGTTATATTTAAAATAACAATTTAAGTATTTTGTCCAAACTGTTAAAAAGTTGTAGCTTTAAACTGATATGTTTACATACAACAACATATTAAATCTAATAAATTAAGTATAATATGTTAAAAGTTAAAGACATAACTTTATAAGTAGAAGTAAAGATATTATTTTAAAATTGAAATTTAGTATATTTATGATTACACTATAGGTTGGATATTTATTTAACCTTATTAACCAACTTATAATCATTATTAGAAAGACACTACAATTAATCACTTTTAACTATTTACAAAATATTCTTTGGGTGGTTTAAGTTAAACTAAAATTTATATTTAAGTTGACCCTGTAATGTTATATTCAAATTAATAATTTAAGTATTTTATACAAATGTTTCCAAAATTGTATCTTTAAAATGATAATGGTTTACATCTAACAATATATTAAAACTAATAAATTAAGCATAATATGTTAAAAGTTAAAAAACATAACTTTTTAAGTAGAAGTAAATGTATTATTTTAATATTGAAATTTAGTTTATATATGATTACACTTTAGGATGATATTATTTAACCTTATTACCAACTTATAATTATTATTAGAAAGAAATTGAAAAGTCATGGGAGTTTCAAATGAATGCGGTGAAAGGAAAAATGCATGAGAGTTTCAAATGAACGTGGTGAAAGGAAAAATGTTTCATTTATAATATAGTATTAGGTGAATGCCCACGCGTTGCGCAGAAACACCTATATAGTAGAAGTCGTTACAAATATATGTTTTTTTTAATATAGCAATAATGTTGTTAAATTTGATATAATAATTCGTATACTAAATTGATATAATGTATTGATTATTTTGAATTATATGATAATATATACATCTATTATAACTGCATAATCTCAATCGTTTGAATGACTTCTACCCGCGAGTTACTCATGAATAACATTAAATATACTGTATAATTTAATGTTATTTATAGTTGTTGTTATTGTTAATTAGTTTTCTAAAATTTATTTACTTAATGTTTTAATTTCTATCATTATAATTATTTAAAAATCAAACATTGTTTTTTGATTTTAAAGGTAACAATATAATCATTTATATAGAGTTATTTTTAACTATTGTTATTGTAAATTATTTTAAGATGCTTATTTGAAAACTTTTAACGATTATAAAAAATATCTTTAGGAAATATTTTAGTTAAATTGAGATTTCAATTTAGTTTTTGCATTATCACTACAATTATCACTTTTAACTATTTACAAAATATTTTTGGTTTTTTAAGTGGAACTGAAAATTTATATTTAAGTTAACATTGTAATGTTATATTTAAAATAACAATTTAAGTATTTTGTCCAAACTGTTCAAAAGTTGTAGCTTTAAACTGATAATGTTTTACATACAACAACATATTAAATTTAATAAATTAACTATAATATGTTTAAAAGTTAAAGACATAACTTTAAGTAGAAGTAAAGATATTATCTTAAAATTGAAATTTAGTATATTTATGATTACACTTTAGGTTTGATATTTATTTAATATTTTTAACCAACTTATAATCATTATTAGAAAAACACTACATTTAATCACTTTTAACTATTTAATAAATATTTTTTGGGTTGTTTAAGTTAAACTAAAATTTATATTTAAGTTGACCCTGTAATGTTATATTCAAATTAATAATTAAGTATTTTATACAAATTGTTCCAAAATTGTATCTTTAAAATGATAATGGTTTACATCCAATATTAAAACTAATAAATTAAGTATAATATGTTAAAAGTTAAAAAGACATCACTTAATAAGTAGAAGTAAAGATATTATTTTAATATTAAAATTTATTTATATATGATTACACTTTAGGTTTGATATTTATTTAACCTTATTAACTAACTTATAATTATTATTAGAAAGAAATTGAAAAGTCATGGGAGTTTCAATTGAATGTGGTGAAAGGAAAAAAGCATGGGAGTTTCAAATGAATGTGGTGAAAGGAAAAATCCTTTATAATATAATACAAACATTGTTTTTTGATTTTAAAGGTAACAATATAATCATTTATATAGAGTTATTTTTAACTATTGTTATTGTAAATTATTTTAAGATGCTTATTTGAAAACGTTTAACGATTATAAAAAAATATCTTTAGGAAATATTTTAGTTAAATTGAGATTTTAATTTAGTTTTTGCATTTATCACTACAATTTATCACTTTTAACTATTTACAAAATATTCTTTGGTTTTTTAAGTGGAACTGAAATTTATATTTAAGTTAACATTGTAATGTTATATTTAAAATAATAATTTAAGTATTTTGTCCAAACTGTTCAAAAGTTGTAGCTTTAAACTAATAATGTTTTACATACAACAACATATTAAATTTAATAAATTAACTATAATATGTTAAAAGTTAAAGACATAACTTTATAAGTAGAAGTAAAGATATTATCTTAAAATTGAAATTTAGTATATTTATGATTACACTTTAGGTTTGATATTTATTTAACATTTTTAACCAACTTATAATCATTATTAGAAAAACACTACAATTAATCACTTTTAACTATTTAATAAATATTCTTTGGGTTGTTTAAGTTAAACTAAAATTTATATTTAAGTTGACCCTGTAATGTTATATTCAAATTAATAATTTAAGTATTTTATACAAATTGTTCCAAAATTGTATCTTTAAAATGATAATGGTTTACATCCAATATTAAAACTAATAAATTAAGTATACTATGTTAAAAGTTAAAAAGACATCACTTAATAAGTAGAAGTAAAGATATTATTTTAATATTAAAATTTATTTATATATGATTACACTTTAGGTTTGATATTATTTACCTTATTAACCAACTTATAATTATTATTAGAAAGAAATTGAAAAGTCATGAGAGTTTCAATTGAATGTGGTGAAAGGAAAAAAGCATGCGAGTTTCAAATGAATGTGGTGAAAGGAAAAATGCTTCCTTTATAATATAACTAGACGAATTCCCGCGCGTTGCGCAGCGAAGATTAAAAATATATTGTTAAAATATTGAAAAATATATGCTTAAAATGGTTATGTTATTAACATTAACTTTGACATAATATTTTTACACTAATTTATATATATATATATATATATATATATATATATATATCTATATATATAGATATATATATATAGATATAATCTCAATTATTTTGAATAATAATATTCATTGACATCAACCCACATTCCTTATTAATAGAATTTAAATATAATTATCTATTTAGTATTATTTTTAACAATTATTATTATTGATTAATTATATTTTAACTTATGCGATTATTTTCTAATTTCAATAATGATGTTCATTTAAAATACAATTTATTTATAGCTAAATGTAATTTATAATTTGATGTTATTATCATTTAAAATTGTTATTCATTAATTTAAACCACTTATTATTAATAATAAGTTAAAGAAGACTTTTAAGAAGAAACACTTATATTATTATTAAAATGTGAAACATACACTAAATAATAAAGTGATAAGATAGACAATTTACATTTTAAAAGAGACTTGCACGGATAATATGACATATCCATGTAATTTGATTTTATTATTTATAATTATTGCTTTTAATTTTAAAACCACTTGTTATTATTAATAAGTGAAAGAAACTTTTAAAAACACTATTATTATAATTAAAATGTTAAACATATACTAAAATATAATTGATA